ATCCCATCACACGGAACATCCCATCACACGGAACATCCCATCACCTATCACATGGAACATCCTGTCACCTGTTCACACGGAAATCCCGTCACCCGTCATCTGTCACATGGAACATCTCACCCGTCACACAGAACATCCCATCACCCGTCACATGGAACATCCCATCACCCGTCATACAGAACATTTCACCCATCACACGGAACATTCCATCACCCCCAGCTCCCTCCGCCCCTTTGCCGCCAGCTCCCCACCTGGTTCGTCTGTTCTGGAATTCCCCGTCCATGAATCACAGTGCGTGTTCTCCCTGCTGTGGGATTCTTTTACCCAACATAATGTCTGCGTGACTCATCCCACCGCAGCCTCGGTCGGAGCTGGCCTGCCATCGATCCTGTTGTCCTCCCCGTTTTTTAGATAAGGAAACCGGGAGTTAGGGAGGGCACAGACAGAAGAGGATGGCATGGACACGGAAATATGGACACGCTTTTTTTTGAGTCGGGGTCTCACTGTGTCGCCCAGGCTGGAGTGCAGTGGCACAATCACGGCTCACTGCAGCCTCAACATCCTGGGCTCAAGCAATCCTCTCACCTCAGCCTCCTGAGTAGCTAGGACTACAGGTGTACGCCACCACACCTGGCCAAGTTTTGCATTTTTTAAAGAGACAGGGGTCTCACCATGTTGCCCCAGCTAGTCTTGAACTCTGGGGCTCACCGATCCACCCACCTTGGGCTCCCAAAATGTTGGGATTATAGGCATGAGCCACTGTGTCTGGCCTGGACACCTTTTTATGTACACACAGGTGCACTCGTATATCGTAATCCATACAGGACATCCTACGCCTGTCCACATGAGCACACGCACGGGGCCCGTGTGGACACCTGCGTGCAGACATGAATGTGTGTATGAGCACGTGTGCTGTGTATCTGTGCAAACTTCAAGCAATGAGGAGGGCCCCTGGTGGGCTTCTGCTGCCCTGCAGGGCACCATGGTCAAGGGAGAAGCTCCTGGCACCCAGTCCTGTGCTGTGGCTTGAGCCTGACCCGACCTCTGACGCCTGACTTCTGCCTCAGCTGTTTCTCATGTGATTGCAGTAAACAGTAACTCAGCCCAGAGCCAGGCGCACGGGAGGCGCTTACTAAACGCTGTTAGCACAAACCAGCGATCTCACTCTTCCTGGCAGGGGAGTCTGTTACGTTAGCCTAAGCCCGTTTCTCTTCTGAGGACCTGCTCTGTCGGAAACGGGGCGGCCACTCCTTCTTGTCTGCGCACTCCCTGGAAGCAAACCAGGCCGCAGGCGAGTCCCAGGTGTGAGGCAGCGGCCCTGGCTCTGGAACCCCAGAAGGAAACCTTTGAATCGGGGAATCTTGGGGGGCCTGGCCCGAGGCTCCCCCTCCCAGCACCCAGGACCCCTTCTTTGCACCCCTAAGAGAGCCTTCCCACCCCTTAGCCTGATTTGACTTCCCCAGCCCTGACCTGGGATCTGTTTTCTCTTCTGTGTGGAAAGTGCCGCGTGCTCTGAAGCTGCTGGCCGGGCCGGCCCTGGTGGGGGTGGAGGGACTGCCCCCCTCTGCTTTGTATTCCACGCACCTCACTGGGACCCCCAGCATCCGCCAGGCAGCAGCAGGTGTGAGGGGCAGGTGGGAAGCGCACACCTGCTACCCAGTGGGTGACTCGGTGGTTGTGAGAACACTGCCGTGTGGGGAGATGGCGGTGCCCGCTCGCCGGGGTCATCACCGCCTCCTTTAGGACACGGAGCCTGGGAGGGCCGTGTGCCCCCCCCCGCCCTGCTCCCCACTGAGGAGGTGACGTGGCTGCAGGGGCCTGGGCCTGTCGTCCGCCACCCACCCCAGTTAGGGGCTCAGAGCCGATGGGGCGGACGGCCAGCAGGGCCTGGTGAGGAGGAGGAGGCCCCGGCTGCGTGAGGAGGCCCCAGGGTCTAAGCCCCAGTCCACCTCGGACAATCGACTGTGCTCCTCAGCACCTTCTCAGAGGAGTGGGTGGGGGGGTCCTGGGCTGGCACCTCACTCACACCCTTTCTGCCACCTGGGCCCACATAGCCATGCTGGGCTGAGGGTCCGGGGCCATTTGACCTGCCTTGCCTCTGCCTCTGCGGGTTCTCACCTGGGCCTGGAGAGGGTCAGGGCAGACGTGCTTACCTGTGGAGGGCTCCCACCACACCTGTGAGGTGCATGCCGGCTGGCTGTGAGCTGCTACCTGGCTTCCACCTGGGCCTGTTTTCTCACCTGGTAAATAGGTGGGATGACCTCTGCCTCCCCCGGGCGACTGCTGGCCCCGTGAGGTGGTGGCCGTGCAGGGGTGGCCACACACAGGGATGGCAGGTGCTTGAGAGCAGCAGCAAAGGGGGCGCCGGGCCCTGGGCAGGGAAGCCCATGGTGGGGGCGGGGAGACAGGACAGGCCTGAGAGCCCGGGTGAGGGCGCGGTGGGGTCCCCAGGGTCAGGAGCCGTCCCTGCTTGTCCCTCCCTGCCTGATGCTTCTGACTTACAGATTGTGGCCCAGAAGAAAGTGACCCGCCCGCTGCTGCTCAAGTTTGGCAGGAACGCCGGCAAGTCCACCATCACGGTGAGGCCCGGGTGCACCCGCCGCAGCCTGCAGGCCCTGCTGCTGTGGCTCCCAGGGCGTTCCGAGTGGAAGATGGGCAGCGTGCGGTCCAGGGAGGGTCTGCAGGAGCTGGCAGCTGCACAGCCCTGGGGGCGCCCAGACGCCTCCTCTCAGGCCCGGCTGGGTGGGGTCGGCTGGCCTGGGGCCTCGGGTCCCCCACGGTGGGGTCAGGCCCCGCCTGGCCAAGCCTGGAGCCCTGGCGTACCCCTGCCAGGTGATCGCTGAGGACATCTCGGGGAACAACGGCTACGTGGAGCTCTCCTTCCGGGCCAGGAAGCTGGATGACAAGGTGAGTGCGGGCGCCGGGCATGCCTGGCTCAGGCTGAGGTCTGGGAACCAGTTCGAAATCCAGTCCCTGCCCAGCGCTGACCTCGCGTGGCCGTGTCCCGTATGAGATGTGTGTGCAGCGTGCGGAGTGTGCGTGGCAGGGGCTGGGCGTGCTGCTGTCACGGTCACCATCGTCACCGCCATTAGCTCTCCCTCCCCTCCTGGCAGCCAGGATGGGACCAGGGCAGCTCCCCACTGTGGCGACCACTCATGACCCTGCTCAGTGATGGGGAAAGAGGCCCAGCACCCCCAGGCCACCGTCCTGAAAGGGGAGGAGCTGGAGCAGCTCAGAACAGGGTCCCACCCTGCTGTGTAGGGTGTCTCCCTGGAGGGGAGTCGCGCGCTGTGGTCAGATCCCCGGGGGTGGGAGGGAGGGAGGAGATGCTGTCCGTGCAGACTTGCTGCCTCGTTTGGTGCCTGAGGAATTAGCAGCTGGTGGTGTGAAGTGAGCCCTGGGAAATGACAAAGCCAGCTCCCGTCCAAAGCCCGAGCTCACAGTGCCTGGCCCAGCAGCCCTTGTGCCTCTCCCCAGGACCTCTTCAGCAAGTCCGACCCCTTCCTGGAGCTCTTCCGGGTCAACGACGACCAGGGCTTGCAGCTGGTGTACAGGACGGAGGTGAGCGGCCGGGGATGGCAACCAGGGAGGGGAAGGGGCTGTCCCCAGCCCTCCCGCATCTCTGGCCACGCGGGAGGAGCTCCCAGCCTCCAACAGGGAGCCGCCGGCGCAGGCCCTTGGTGGCCGTGGCTGTAGCCAGAATCCAACAGGCTTGTGTCGTTGTGGCTGTGACTATTTTTAGGCCTCCCTTCCACTTCTGCAGGTGAAATGGGATTTCAGCGACTGCAGTGACAGCGCTTTGTTTTGAGAGAAATTAACTTGAGTGGAAATGAATCTGTTTAAGGAGGAGAGCAGTGCAGGTGGCTCAGAGGTGGCAGAAGTTACGAAGGCGGAGGCACGGGGCTCGGAAATGCGGCTCCCGGGTCCCCACACGGCTTCGTGCGGGGAGGGGGTGCCAGCCCCGGCTCAGGGCCCCGGCGCTGTCTGGGGTGACGCAGGGGCAGGGCCAGCGGTGCCCGCCTCACACTGCTCTTCCACCCAGGTCTCTGTCCGCCCCGAGGATCCCAGGGCCCTGGGCCTCCCCTGAGCCAGCCCCTCCCGGCCCACAGGTGGTGAAGAACAACCTGAACCCCGTATGGGAGCCCTTCAAAGTCTCGCTGAGCTCCCTCTGCAGCTGCGAGGAGACAAGGCCTCTGAAGGTGGGGGACGGGACAGACCACGGCGGCAATGAGTGGGTGGCCTGGATGTGGGCCGGGGATGGAGACACCCGGGCTCAGGGGTGGGAGGGTCCTGGGGCCCCCAAGGGGCAGTGCTGAGGGGGACTGGGCTCCCCAGTGCCTGGTCTGGGATTACGACTCTCGAGGAAAACACGACTTCATCGGAGAATTTACTACCACCTTCGAGGAGATGCAGAAGGTCTTCAGGGAGGGGCAGGTGAGTGGGAGGTGGGGGAGGTTGGGGAGGGGCCTCTGGGGAGGGGCAGGTGAGCGGGGGCACATCTGGGCTGCGCCTGTGTTGGCCCCACCACAGAGGCTGTGAAACCCTGTCCCACTGTCCTGACGGGGTTGTGGGGAGCAGTGACAATGACTTGTTATAACCAGAGAAGGCTGGGATGGTGGACTCTGGTGCTGGTTCCCGAGGGGTCATAGCAGGGGTGGCCGCCGTCAGGTTCAGCTGGAAATTTTCAGGCACCATCCAGGGCTGGGCCGGCCCTCGTGGGGCTTGTGTCTGTGAAACCGTCTAGCGGCGGAGCTGGGCACGGGGGTGGTGGGAGGTGGGGTCAAGGGGTGCCCTCCCCTGTGTCTGCCTGCCCAGCCCTCAGCAGCCGGATGAAGGTGCAGTGGGGAGGCCACCCCGGGCCCTGCTTCCTGCCCCCCTCCCTGGGCCTCAGCGTCCTTGGGCTTAATGACGGGGCCATGCCGGGTGGGGGGTCCAACTCCCGTCCCTCTTCATTCGTGTCTGACCCACACTGCCCCTTCCGGCTGCCCTGCAGCAGCCCTGCCCTTCCCCACACAGGGGTTCGCCATCGCTACGGAGGACGGTCTTGGGTGGGGTCTCCCTGGTGGGTGTTCAGAGCTACCACTGTGGGGGCCTCTGCTTGTTCCTGCCCCAGGCCCAGTGGGACTGTGTGAATCCCAAATACAAGCAGAAGAGACGCAGTTACAAGAACTCGGGGGCCGTCGTCCTGGCTGACCTGAAGGTGAGAGGCGGCCGCGCCCGAAGCCTCCCAACCTGCAGGAGGAGCTTCCACTGCCCCCTCTGATTGTTGGATGGACCCTCAACCAGAGGCCTGGGGGGCCCCAGCACGTCCGGGAAGGGGCAGGTTGGGGAGAGAGAATGCGGGAGAGGAGAGGAGGGAGAGGGACTGGGCTGCCTGGGGGAGGGAGGCTGCATCTTTGGTGGGGGTGGTGCCAACACCGCTGGCCTCGGTGTCCCTGGCCGGGGTGGCCGCCGACACTGCTGGCCGGAAGTTCCACAGGGTGTACTCCTTCCTGGACTACATCATGGGCGGCTGCCAGATCCACTTCACCGTGAGTCCACGGCCCCGCCTGTCCCCCGCCCGTCCCCACCCCCGCC